GATTTTTTTTTACTTAGAAATGGAGAGCAATTTGAAGAAATGACTAAAAAAATTAATTAAAAAAGAGGCTTCCATTTTTTTTTAAAGGAGAGATTTTTTTTTTACTAAAAAAATTAATTAAAAAAGAGGCTTCCATTAAAAATAAAATAAATTGTGTTTCAATTTTTCCTCGGAAAATTATATCTATGGTCCCAAACCTATGCGTGGAAGAGCGTATAGTTCCCAACATGTGAAACAATCATCGAGGCCCCTCAACTTTTAGCCTTACTGTATTAGGTCCCAATTGATACAAATAGCCTATTTAACAAGTACAAATCATATTATCCACTTTCCTATAAAAGAGAGAATGCAAAAAGTATTGTTCACCTTGAGACAGAGAATTCACACAGAACTGATATCGTATTGTAGATAAATCGGTTCCGTTAAAAAACTTTAAAAAATTTATTAATGATAGTATTTAATGCTTTTGTGCAAGAATGACAGAGAAAAATATTTATTAGCCTTCATTGTTGACTTTTATCCTCTTTGTGTCAGAAGAAAATATTTATTCAGCTTTCATTGTTGAAAATTTTGTTGTTGTCTGGCATGTGTACTATTTTATTAGATTTAAAAGGGTATTTTGTGGCGACATAAAATGTCATTCACATTATTAATGAGAGTATTTAATGATTTTGTACAAGATGAATGCTTTTGTGCAAGAATGGCAGAGAAAAACATTTATTAGCCTTCATTGTTGACTTTTATACTCTTTGTGCCAGAAAAAAATAGTTATTCAGCCTTCATTGTTGAAAATTTTGTTGTTGTTTGGCATGTGTACTATTTTATTGGATTTATTTGTTTTATGTGAGTGGGTTACTGTAGCTTATAAAAAGGGTATTTTGTGGCGGCATAAAATGACATTCACATTATTAATGAGAGTATTTAATGATTTTGTGCAAGATGTGTTCTGACAATGGAAAAACATTTATTTAACTTTTACGGTCTTTCTAAATCGTGACAGAAAATCATTTTGTTGCCTAACATTTGTATTTTTTTTATTTATATTAAATGAAAGAGAATTGATATAAATGAATTAATGATAGTATTTTATTGGATGTATTTGCTTTTTGTAAGTCGGTTATTGTAGAGGCAAAAAACGGTTTCTTGTGGCGGCTAAAAATATTATTTACATTAATAAATTTAATCAACCTTCATTGTTGACTTTAGAAGGTGGTACTTGTCTGTCCAAAAAAAAATATCAGTATGATTTTATCACATAAACTATCCATAAATTGAAAGAAAACTTTCAAAATGACAAACTGGTTTTATTACAGAGAACTAAGTTTCGTGAAATTTTTCTCTTAAACGAAAGGAAGACATTGTTTTTTTTTTTGTTGACAAAAAGCCGTAAATTGTTTGTAAAATAAATACTATTTCTGTGGACAATCCATCAAATTGCAAAAAGAAGTGAAAATTTTCTCTATAGACGGAGGAAAGGGACTTCAAGCGGGAGATTGAGGAGTTGAAGATTAAGGTGAAGTTTCTGGAACTTTTTTTTTTTTTCACTTTTTTCTTCCCTTCAAATTTGTTCATTATTGAGTTTTATAAAAATAATCTTTAACCTTTTGTTGCTAAATCTGTTCGTTGAGTTTGTTTTTATTTTTGAAAATTAGTAGTTACTTCATACTTCTTTTAACATTTGATAAATTGTAATGGTTATTCATAAATCAATTATATTTGTTTCATGATTTTGAAAAGCAGGGAAGTGATGAATTTTTGCTAAATTTGTGAGTGCTATTTTATGGGATTGAAGACTTGTTAAAATTATTTTTCAAGATTTATTATTTTCTTTTTGTAGTGCATTAATAAATAGTTTTTTGTAATAATGATTTGATGGAATTATAAAATAACTTAGAATGAACGAAAGGAAAATAAATAACATATAATCAAGAATGATATGGTTAACTATTTTTTTAGACATTTAGAAATTTACAACAACAAATTGAATAACATTATCAAATGTTTTTACTTTTCTGTATGGACATATTATCTATTATAGAAGTGAATGGATAAAAATTAGAAAAATAGAGAAAGAAGAAAGCATTAAATGCAGTTTGTCAAAATGAAAATATTGGCTTGGGAAATGAGTATTGTGTTAATCGTGTATCTATACTATTGTGGATTAATGAAGAAATTTGTGCGTATGATTTTTGATATAATATAGGAATAATGACAGTTTTGAAAAGTTATTATATTTAAACTATATGTTTTTTGCAAGGTGAACCATTTGAAATTTCAGATTTTTTATTTGTTTAATTTTTTTCTGTCTTTCGTTTGAACTATAACTGTAACTAAATTATTTAATTGTCTAGCATGAATTCAAACATTTAAAAAAGTTAAAATTTAGTTTATTTTTAACTACTTTTCTTTTTTGCTTGTTTATTTGTATAGTTAAATACTTTTTTTTTTATCATTATTGTTGTTTACTGTTCTCTTTATCGTTACTTAAAGCATATTCGTGTATGTTTCTCATTAATATTTAAATTTTGTATTATTGATGTTTATATAATTTTTACATTGTTAAAAAGTTGAATGAATTTAATATATCTTTAACAGTTTGTTGTAACTAATTTTTGATTTGTATATATTTTGGTTTTTGTGTATGAATGGTTTAACACACTTGCTAATAATGTTTATGGATTATTTTAGATTGTATTGCTTAGATTGGAGTTGAAATATTTAGTAGTTCTTTCTGCTATCGTTGATGGATACTTTGAAAATGTCTATTCATGAAGATCATGTTATTGTTAACTTTGATGCTGCGTCTAAAAGTGGGAATGAGTTGCACAGAACCTTTAGTCGCCAACAACGAGGTCAAAGAGAGAGAGAGGCGAATCAGATTTAGAAATAATTGTAGTGATTATCATAAAAGAAGAAAATGATCATATGTTATCGGAAAATAATTATTTTGTTGTTACTCAGCTACATGAATCCATAATGTATCAAAATTCTAACGCTTCAACTTCAAATAACAAATCACATAATATTTTTTATTCTGAATTTGAAATATCTTTCAAAGGATTTAACATACCATCTACTGCATATGTATTGCCAATATCCAGTTATTGTAAACATTGTAATGCACGTAAATTTTATAGAGAAAGTAAAGGGTTTTGTTGTTCAGATGAAAAAGTTAAACTTTTTATATGTGATTCACCAGTTCAATTGTATAATTTATTTACTTCTAAAGAACTACATTGTATGGAATTCAAAAAAATTGTAAGGGGATATAATAATCATTTTGCTTTCACTTCATTTGGTGTAAAATACGATAAAGAACTTTTTAAAACGTATAAAGGTATTTAACATTCAAAGTTCAAGGACAAGTGCATTATTATATAAATGAAGTTATGCCAAAAAATAATACGACTTCTTTTGTATATATGTACGTTAAAATAGAAATTACTAGATTAGATTATTGTCGTAATAATCAAAAATAAATTCGTGCTGAACTTTACAAGATATTGTAGATAATGTTCAAAATGGGGAAACAAGAGGATGCGAAGTTGGAATAAAATTTGTTTTACCACAACCATTTACATGTGGGCCTCGTGATATGCTAAAAAGATACATGGATGGAATGGCTCTTGTGCAACGTTATGAAAAATCGGATATAATTTTGACTGTAACATGTAATCCGAATTGGCCAGAGATTAAACAAGAACTAAAAAACAATCATGAAGTTCAAAATCGACCAGATTTAATTGTACATATATTTAGAGTAAAATTAGAAGAACTGAAACATAATTTATACAAAGCAAATATTTTAGGTCATGTTATTGCATATATATACGTGATTGAATTTCAAAAAAGAGGCCTTCCTCATGCACATATGTTAATATTTAACTCTGGAAATAAAATTACTTGTGCTGAAGAAGTTGATAGGATAGTGTCATGTAAAATTCCTAACAAAATCAAATACCCTTATCTTTATTCTGTTATTGTTAGACATATTATGCATGATCCTTATGGAAATTTAAATTCGAAAAATGTATGCATGGAGGCAAAAAAAGTTGTAAAGTATTAATTTTTCAATTCTTAAAAATGAAACAAAGAAGGATATAGATGAAATTTCTGCTTATCAATCTGCTAGATGGATATCTCCACCTGAAACTATGTGGAGGATTTTTTCTTTTAATATGTTAGAAATTTGTCCTACAGTTTACTCTTTACAGCTTCATATTGAAAATTATCAGCAAGTAACATATGACAATGAAGATGATTTATCTACTGTTGTTGAAAATGAAAATAAAAAAAGAACTATGTTAACGGAATTTTTTGCATGAATAAAGAAAATGAGTTCGCACATACACTTTTGTATAAAGATTTCTCAACATATTTTGTTTGGAACACGAATAAGAAAATTTGGACTCGCAGAAAGAAACAAGTTGTTATAGGACGAATTGTCATGGTAAATCCATCTGAAGGAGAACGATATTTTTATCGTGTTCTTTTGAATCATATTCGAGGTCCAACATCGTTTCAAGATTTACGAACTTTAAATGGAGTTACTGTTGTTACATATCGAGAAGCAGTGCTTCTACATGGTTTATTGAGCGGAGATAATAATTGTGAAGAATGTTTATCTGAAGCTGTTATTTATGAAATGCCTACTTCTTTAAGACGTCTATTTGCTATACTTCTTAGCCTCTGCAACCCTAATGATCCAAAATTATTGTGGAATACATTTAAATCTTATATGATTGATGATTACATACATGAAAATATTTCTTCACATGATACTAAATTTCGGGCTTTAAACGATATTAGTTGTATCTTAGAATCTTTAGGTAAAAATATAAATGATTACGAAATAGTATCATTCAAT